CTTTGACCTCCAATCATCACACACAATGACCACTTGTTTTGAAATTAGCACTTTTCTGTTACAGTTCTTCAGTTGTATTTCACAAGGCTTCTTTCTTGTTTGATGGGTTATTTAGTTAAAGGGGTATTCACAGTGTAAATGTTTGCTATTACATTATAATAGGATACAGGTAAGTAAAAACAATGCAAGCAACTTCACATTAGTTTTCATGAAGTTTAAACACAAATACACTCTTATAAATTTAACAATTACTTTGATCTATACTAATACAAAAGTGAATTGAACTGGGGTTTCAGCCTGAGCTGGCACCTGGTCTGCCAGCATCACAGGGATAATTATAGTATGGTGGTGACTGGGGTAATTGGAGTAGGGTAAGAGAGTCAGGAGTCAAACTGAAAAATGAAGTGATGGGATTCTATTCATGCTTCACTTTGTATGCTCCCTTTCCTGGGTTTCCTTGTTGTCTATGCAGTCTCCATTTTTCCTCATATCTTCTTGAAAGGCTGTATCCCCATTTCCCCCTGTAAGGTCTGAGGCCGTTTTCTTTAGTAAGCAGAAGCCACCTTAGGACAGCAGCAGTCATGAGTTAAGAAGCAGAAATCTAAATTGCATCAAAACAGTGCACTATTGGGCTATTAACAAGGTGCCCCTCCTAATAGTGCCCACCATCACCAGAAAAAGAAACAGATCTTAAGATGTATAAGGAAAACTTTATTTGATAGCATTCTGTCTGGCAAGGAATCACTTATCAATAGTTGTGATTGTTGTTGCCGGCCCAGAGGGCCTGAGGGGGGCAACAGGGTTCGTTGCCCGGTGTGCGCCGCACCAATAGACACACCAGGGTGGAGAAGCAAACCAAATTTATTCAAGAGCTCTGAATAGGCACTAGGAGACCAGCATGTCTCAAATCAAGCGCAGCAAATACAAGCAGGTTTCCCATTTTAAATTCCAAGCTGTTTGTGTGCAAGCCTTTGTTCTGTTTTTCCTTACCCCTCCCTTCCCGACAACGGTTACAGCAGGCAGTACATTGTGGCATGTGAGAAAAGTTCTCGTCCGCATGCTTATCTTCGGCCTTGTAGGTCCATGCATACACAGTCTTCCCCACCCTCTCTTCCCCATCCTTATCACTACATTTGCTAGTGTGAGTGAAACTGCAGCTGTCTGCTAGAAAAGCTGACTTTTACATATTCTGCTTTTAGGCTGGTTAGCATGTAGGTAGGTTAAAGTTCACAAGATGGAGTTACTGTGGCTCACTTAGACCCAGAGCAGGGAGGTTTCATTGGCACTTATGGCCTTCCACCCCTCCGAGTTACCTGGTAGCTATGCCTAGTGACGCCAACATTGTGAAATATATACTTTATTGTTTTTCTTTTATGATCCCTACTTCTCTATTGTTTATCTGTGTGGTTTCTGATTATTTGATTGTTTCTGTCTGTTGCATAACTAATTTTGCACGATTAAAATTAATTAAGGTGGTGAGGTCTGATGGGTTAAAAATTGTTTTGTAATGGGCTAAGATTGGTGAAAAATACTGTTTTGTACTTAGTTTAAAATGATTGGTTAAGGTATAGCTAAGCAGGACACAAATTTAACTATATAAACTGGGGTCCAAAAGGAAGTTCTTTGCAACATAACTCCAGGACACAGCCTAAGATCAGAGTTGCCAGATCTCAACACATGCCAATCACATGTGTGACAGAGTGGGGATTCAGCCTGGGCAAAGTCTATACTGCATTTTACCCTAAATGCCTGATCCCTAGTCTCAGTTAATGCAGCGTTTGCCCAGGCTGCTGGTATCACCTGTGTTGGGAGCTACACTGTGATTTTTTTTTAAAGTATTGTTACAAAACCTAATAATTAAAAAACACGTTTAAATATATTTAGGCAGTACTTAAACTGTTAAAACATTATGTATGACGTAGTCTCATTTTCATATTTAATTATACAAGAGTTCAAAATAGTTTCCCCTTCCTCACCCCCATGGCAGTAATAAACCACCATTAACTGCTCTCTAAGGTGCCCAAGGCATGCATACCCTCTGGCTTGGGGTGTGCACACGCTGCCCCACCGAGCTGTGCAGACACCGACCCCTATTAGCCTGCGGGCCGCTCTGCGGCTGTTGTAACCTGCGGCCCGAACACCGCAGACAAGCTCCTGGTCACGTGATCTAGACTGGGGCTGTCCCCCGGCCCGGCTCT